ACTAACTAACTACTAACTAGAGTGGTAGTAGTTATAGTAGTACTTGTTAGTGTGGGTATATATATATATATATATATATATATATATATATATATTTGTATGTATGTATGTATGTGGCGCATTTGCGATATAGTGTTGAATAGTCAATCTGCTAAAGGGCTTGATAGGCGTCACTGCAATCAGAAGTAGATAGCACTATCAATCCAATAACAATTACATAAAATCTAGAACAAATACATCCGGCCTATAGTGTAGATATGCTACCTATAACTATCACATACCATCTACAACAAATACATTTTTTAATACTATAATGAATACATACCATCTATACCATAACAATCACATACAATTTATATCAAGTACATACCATCCATATCAAATACCCACTACAACCTTCAACCCAAGAACCCAACTACTTACCTACCACTCCCCTCACCAGCGCCATGGCCTCCCTCAAAGCCAACGGCTACTTTGAGCCTCTGCGTGACTACGTCCTGGCTGATAAGCCGTTCTTCGGCATCTGTGTAGGTATGCAGTGCCTGTTCCAGGGCAGCGATGAGTCACCCGAGATAGAGGGCTTGGGGGTAATCCCGTCCATGATCACTAAGTTTGATATCGACCCGTCGCTGTCTGTGCCGCATATGGGGTGGAACAGCAACCGCCTGTGCCGCACGAGTACCATCTCACCCGAGACCACGGATGAGGTGAGTGGGTGTGGGTGTGTTTATGGCTGGTTCTACCTACAGTTATGTATATATGCATGATAGGTTGTGGGTGTGGCTATGGTTAGCTCTTCCTGTGGTTGTGTATATATGCATGGTAGGTTGTGGGCGTGTCTATGGTTAGCTTTACCTACAGTGTATGTATGCATTATAGGTTGTGGGTGTGTTTATGGCTGGCTCTACCTGTGGTTGTGTATATATGCATGGTAGGCTGTGGGCGTGCCTATGGTTAGCTCTACCTACAGTGTATGTATGCATGATAGGTTGTGGGCGTGTTTATGGCTGGCTCTACTGTGGTTGTGTATATATGCATGGTAGGTTGTGGGCGTGCCTATGGTTAGCTCTACCTACAGTGTATGTATGCATGGTAGATTGTGGGTGTGTTTATGGCTGGCTCTACCTGTGATTGTGTATATATGCATGATAGGTTGTGGATGTGTTTATGGCTGGCTCTACCTGTGATTGTGTATATATGCATGATAGGTTGTGGATGTGCTTATGGCTAGCTCTACCTACAGTTATGTATATATGCATGATAGGTTGTGGGTGTGCCTATGGTTAGATCTACCTACAGTTAAGTATATCTGCATAATAGGTTGCAGGTCCATTTATGGCCATGTATATTCCACCCACCCATCCACACACACACACTCTCTCTCGTTCCTTTGCAGAAGTACTACTTTGTGCACTCGTACATGGCGCTGCCTTCTCCCGCCAACGAGGAGTGGGTGTCTACATTCACAGACTATGGCACCACCTTCATAAGCTCCGTTGCTAAGGGCAAAGTAATGGCTACTCAGTACCACCCGGAAAAGTCGGGGCCGGCGGGGCTGGACCTCATCCGAAGGTTTTTGGACACAAACAATACGGGACAATACGTGACACCCGTCAAGACACAGACGGTAGGATGGCTGCGTGTGTGTGTTTGGTATATTTAGGGTGGAGATATGTACAGTGGGTATGGGGGTGTGTGCGGAAATGTACAGTGGATATGTCTTATCGTATGTGATAACTATGATACTAGCATCCCACGTCTGCGTACATGCACAGTATGTCTATCATATCATATGTAGTGTGATATGCGTATGCGTATGCGAATGTGCACTCTATTGCCTGAAATGTGACATGTGACACATGACATGCGACACGTGATATATAATGCGACACGTGACATATATATATATATATATATATGTATGTATATGTATATATAAACGCATGTGAAGAGTCCATGCGTTGTGCGGCTGATCAAACACTGAGCAATCAGGAGCAAAGATCACCTACAAGTACCACTGACACCAGACCCAACACGCGCGTGTTTCAGAGTATTAGGGTTTAGGGTGAAACCCTATAGCGTTTCAGCTGACAACCACAGCCACACACTGTTGCAGATGAACACTACTCCCACAGTGTTGGCTAAGCGCATCATCGCCTGTTTGGACGTGCGAGCGAACGACAACGGCGACCTGGTGGTTACAAAAGGAGACCAGTACGATGTCAGGGAAAAGGTACGTGTGTGTGGGTATGTGTATGTGTATGTATATGTATATGTGTTATGTGTATGCATATGTGTATGTGTATGAATATGTGTATGTATATGAATATGTGTATGTGTATGTGTATGTATATGTGTATGTATATACATATGCATATGCATATGCATATGTATATGTATTTCACCGATTAGTATATAGTTACATGCCACTAAACACGCCTTATGCGTCGAGATACTTCACTCCTTATGTACACAACCGTTCACCCGACTAACCAGAGCATAGCACATGTGCACACTCATCTGCTCAGTTCCACAGCACTACCCTTGATTTTAGGGTTTTAGCTGTGAACTTTGCCGAGTGCATGGATGTGTTAGCACGATGTGTGTCTTCTAGAAAGATGCCTATATCTACCTACTGATGAGTTGGTGCTCGTTGTTAGTATATACTATAGCCACATATGCATGTGGTTAGTAGTGTGTTTGTGTATGCATGTGGTTAGTAGTGTGTTTGTGTATGCATGTGGTTAGTAGTGTGTTTGTGTATGCATGTGGTTAGTAGTGTGTTTGTGTCCGCATGTGATTAGTAGTGTGTTTGTGTATGCATGTGGTTAGTAATGTGTTTGTGTATGCATGTGGTTAGTAATGTGTTTGTGTATGCATGTGGTTAGTAGTCTTAGTGTGTGATGTATTGTAGTGATTTGTTTCGATTCTTCTCGTGTTGGTAGTAGTGTGTTTGTGTATGCATGTGGTTAGTAGTGTATTTCTGTATTCATGTGGTTAGTAGTTTGTTTGTGTATACATGTGGTTAGTAGTGTGCTTGTGTATGCATGTGGTTGGTAGTGTGTTTGTGTATGCATGTAGTTAGTAGTGTGTTTGTGTATGCATGTGGTTAGTAGTGTATTTGTGTATGCATTTGGTTAGTAGTGTGTTTGTGTATGCACGTGGTTGGTAGTGTGTTTGTGTGTGTATGTGGTTAGTAGTCTTTATGTATTGTATTGATTTGTTTCTATTCTTCTCATCTACAGACGGGAGAGAATGCTGTGCGTAATTTGGGCAAACCTGTGACGCTGGCGCAACGATACTACACCGAAGGAGCAGATGAAATCACCTTCTTAAAGTAAGTGGCTAAAACCCAAAAACCCTAATGCGTGTCTAAGGTAACTGTTTGTTTCACTGTATGTGAGCATGTTTAGAGGTAGTGTTCGTTTAATTGTATTTAGGGTTTAAAGTAAGTTTGTTTCCAGGAAGTGGTTGGTTAGTGTTGAATATGTTTAAAAACATGTGGGCGTAATATTAGTTTTACTGTATGCTAACACTATTAACCTGTTTACTTCATTTTCTTCCAACATGTCTGGAATGTCACCGTTCCCTTCTATTCAAGTGTCTATAACCAATACATATATATATATATATATATATATATACATACATACATACATACATACATATATATATAGCTGTATATTTATGCATATATATACATACACACACACTCTCTCTCTCTCACACACACATATATATATATATATAAATATGTATGTATGTATGGGGGTGTATGACGTTTTTCATCTGTGCTTACCTTCTCCTTGTCTTCTCCACAGTATTACTAGTTTCCGTGAGTTGCCTGCTAAAGACCTGCCCATGTTGTCTCTGCTGAAAGAGGCGACGAAGAAGATCTTTGTACCACTAACCGTCGGGTGAGTTTCAAACGCTTTCTGATATGTTTTTATCACTTACTTTATGTTCTAATCACTTACTTTATGTTCCAATCACTTACCTTATGTTATATCACGTACTTTATAATAATCACTTACTTAATGTTATAATCACTTACTTTATAATGTAATCACTTACTTTGTTATATTTACTTACTTTATGTTAAAATCACTTACTCTATGTTGTAATCACTTATTCTATGTTATAATCATTTACTTTATGTTATAATCACTTACTTTATGTTGTAATCACTTACTTTGTTATAATCATTTACTGTATGTTATAATCACTTACTTTATGTTGTAATCACTTACTTTGTTATAATCATTTACTTTATGTTATAATCACTTACTTTGTTATAATCACTTACTTTATGATATAATCACTCATTTTATGTTATAATCACTTACTTTGTTATTCCCACTTACTTTGTTATAATCACTTACGTTGTGTTTATTCTCACTTACCTTGTTATAATCACTTACGCTGTGTTTATTCTCACTTACCTTGTTATAATCACTTACTTTATGTCACAATCACTTACTTTATATTTAATCACTTACCTTGTTATAATCACTTACTTTATATTTTAATCACTTACGTTGTGTTTATTCTCACTTACTTTCGGTTGTGTTGTGTAGTGGAGGTATCCGAGAGACCACTGATCCTGATGGCACGTACCACTCAGCAGTAGAAGTGGCGTCCATGTACTTCAGCTCAGGTACTGTGCACAGAGACAGCCGCGTGATATATTATGAGTGTAGTAGTGTAGTTGTGTGATGTTATGAGTGTAGTTGTGTGATGTTGAGTGTAGTTGTGTGATGTTATGAGTGTAGTTGGGTGATGTTATGAGTGTAGTAGTGTAGTTGTGTGATGTTATGTGTGTAGTAGTGTAGTTGTGTGATGTTATGAGTGTAGTAGTGTAGTTGTGTGATGTTATGAGTGTAGTTGTGTGATGTTAGG